AAAAAAAAAAAAAAAAAAAAAAAAGAGGGGTGGGCAGGTGCAGCCACACCTAGATAGCTGCTCTTTAGTCTGACTTTTAATGTGATGAAAGGTTTAAAACAGATTTTAAAGGAAAGGATGATAACGGATATGAAAGGAAACGGGATAAAATACATGTTTTGATCAAGAAAGATCATGTCAGATAAATTGAATATCTTTCTAGGATAGGATAACTGACTTCTAGCTCTTGTTTGTGGTAAACCTAGTCTCTCTCTTTCTACTTAAGCAAAGCATTTGACATCATGCCTCTCAGGAAAGTATTGGCAAATCTGGGGATAAATACAATAAATGTAAGGTAGGTAAGGAACAGATCGTATTCTCTTCTTTAGTCTGGAAATATCAGGTTGTATATCAAACCAAACAGATTGGTAGTGTTCCCTGGGGATCTGTCTTTGGTCGTTATTTTCATTAGTGACCCAGGTGCAAGAATCAATGTGTACTTATGAAAATCATAAAGAGTGCCCCAGTAGGAAGTGTTGTCAATGCTGAAGAGGACTGGATTATTGTATAGGAAAAACTAAATAAGTTTATGTACCAGAGTAATAGAAATGGTATGACATTTTAATAGTATGAAGCTGTGCATTTGCAGACTAGTACTTGACTGAATGTTCAGGTGCCATGCGTTGAGTTGCTCTCCATCTCCTTTTTACTTTTCTGGTTTTCTCTGATAGGGTATGTGCATGTTAACTTAGCATTACTGTCTTCTTGATGCTTTCTTACTGGTGTTTGAAAATTGGAACAAGACTAGACATGGGAAACGAAGTTGTAGATTTAAGATCAAATTGATTTTTGTATAGGTAGAAGTAAAGACCTGTTAGCAAAGTATATACCCTGAAAGACGGATGCACTAAAGGTCTTGGAAATGAGTAGGTGCTGGTAAGGAAAATGAAACACTTGAGGTCTAAATTTTCTCAAACTTTCCCTATATAATTTTGGTGACTGAATATAAAAAGGAGGCATTATACTCTGTTCCAAAGAGACACAATTAACAAATCCTCATGTTTCATATGAAACATAGTCTTACAACCTGTGAACACATCTATAGCTTATTTTATAAGCTACCACCTTATGTATTTTTGATTCCCAAGTAAAATATCTTATGTAAGTAGGCAAATAAATAGTGGGGGATATTACTTTGATTATAGAAAAGGATTACTTTGTTTATAGAAAAGAAATTCTAATCTTACGCTTTCATTCATAATCACCCCAGGCAAAACTACAAATAGCATATTGCATATTCTGATTGGTGGCATACCCTCCTGGTTGTAGTACTGTTAGCAAATTGGAATTCAGAGAAGTGGTAGGGCATAGCCTTGATAAACACGCATAGCATTGCTCTCTGATGTGACATCTGCCAAGGCTGGCAGTACTACTACTGTGTTTAAAAAAACTATCTTGTGAAATCAGGCATTCCTCTTCCCTCCCCTCAGCTCTGATTCTGAGCCCTTCTTGAAATTTGGGAAGAAATGGGAATGAAATAATGAAGTGAATACAAAAGAAACCCAAATGTTTTGTCTATTGGAGTCTACTGGAGAGTTGTTTTCTTCTCTTTTTGTCTCCTATAAAAATAGTACTGAGCAAAGTTGTGACGTGAGCATAATGGACTCCTTTCCACCAAAACATCTTGCCTGACTGCTTACCTCCATAGTATTCTCTTGTATCTGGCAGTGACAGGGTTACTGATCTGTTTATTTACTACAGAGTCTTTACCAAGAGAGGGAGATTTTAGTATAGCTTGGATCAGGGTGACAGTAACGTTTGCTAGACTGTTTTTAAACTGGGCAGGGTTTTTCCTGTTTTAAGGAACAGAAATTGCACCTGCTTGTCTAGATTTAGTTTCTCACGAGCCTTGGAAGGCTGGAGAAGGTGGTGGTGGTTGTGGTGATTTGTTGCTGAAATAACTGTAGGGGGTTTTGTCTCTTCCCGCTCACTTCAACTAACCCCATTGATTGAGCTGCCAGATATCTTTGAGGCAAGATGGGTGCGTCCCACTGAATCCAGCTGTTTTAAGGACTGGTGACAGCTGCCTGGATTACACCATTAGACATCCTGAAAACTTAGGGATCTCAGTACTGTTTTATAACCTGAAACACCTGACTTAAAGCCCTGTCTGGACCTTTTTCCCTTAGATTTCCCTTATTGGACAAGCAGCAGTAAAAATCCAGTGGTGCAGATTTACAACTAGTGAAGTGCTATCTTAGGCATTAAAGTGGAAAAGTTTAATTGGAGAGGAGGATAGAGGTGCATTTGCAGGAGATACTTTCCCAGTTTAAAGTTATCCTCAGTACAGAGCCCCTAGTTGTGGAGCACTTGCTTCCTTTGCTGGAGCTGTTTGGAGCACATGACAGCACTTGTATCCTTTGGGGCAAACATTTGCCTTGCTTTGTGCTAAGGTTGTTATGGTTATCATCCTAGTTAAAGTGAGGGGGGGAATAACCTTCATGTAGGTGGGAAAAGTTGGTTTGGTTTCAATGTATTGTAACAGAGGTCAGAGGTGCAGAAAAAGGGTACAGAACTTCTAAAGATTTAAAAAAAAAAAATTTTTTTTGAGGATGTCCCAATAGGTACACTACACTACATGGTTTGAAGCAGTGGGGCCCAGCCTTTTTAGTAGGCATGCTACAAGGCAAGCCCTAAACCCAGTGTGTGACACTTGAATCCCCTTCTCAGTCTGCACTGCTTTCTGCTCCCTGTCCCATCTGCTGTGCGCCTAACATGTGTCACTGCCTGTGTCACTTCTGGCGCATGTGCTGTGGGTTGATCACCCCTTGTTTAAAGCATTAAAATTTCCGAAAGTAGTTAACGTGTACTGTTACTAAGTGCTACATAATGGGCAGTTAGGAATAAATAATACTGCTTGAAACCAACTTGATATGGAGTTATTTCTTAACATAATTGGGCAAAACCATTAACACCGTTAATGATTAGCCATTAATTTGGTTGCAACCACCTTAAACTACAGGAACTCTCTGCTGGTGAAACGAGTAGTATTGGAGATCAGGGAACCCAATACCTGGTTACCAGAAAGGGGTGTGTGGTCCCTTTTAAGAGCAGAGGTTTTTTTGTAGCTGTGGCTCAGGCCGCCAGCAGAGCAAGGAGTTAAGGAACAGCCCTGTAATTGGGTCGGCTGCCAGGGGAGTCGTATGAGCCAGTGGGCCTGAGGCATGTAAGATCAGGGCCTGAGCCAGAGCAGGCAGTTTAGCCCGGAGAGCAGCTGCTGGTAGCAGGGCTCCTGGGTTAACATTAGAGCTGGGGTAAGCAGCTCTGCAGGCCTGGGAACAAGGGAATTACTATCTGGGGTAAAGGGGGGCCCAGGCAGGCAGCTGCTATTTAGGGTTGGACCCAGAGCAGGTTTAGTGGTGTCTTTCAGAGGGCTTACTACTGGGGTTACTGTTTTTACTGGTAGTTGTGGAAGGGACTGAAGAGGAGAGATCCTGAACCCATTGGGGGGGGTAGAGCAGGCCTTGGAAGACATAGGCCTGGGGTCCACAGAGACGGCTTGAGCTCAAGAGGGACTAGGTACATGGGAAATGGTCTGGTGCCTGGTGGGGGGCTGGCCAGGGGGGCCAGGTGCCTGGTGGGACCAGGATGTATTGAAAGAGGCCCCAGAGCTTATCAGAGGGTAGAGCTTGGGGGCTGGAGGGCCTGGTGCCTGGATAAGGGCAGAGCTTGGGGGCTGGAGCCTGGAAGCCAGGTTCAGAACAGAAGGCCTTGGCTAAAGGACCAGCCAGAGTAGAGGGGCAGAAGCCAGGAAGACTGAAGTCCCAAAAGGGGATAAAGGGGTGGCCTGGTGACTGGGGGACAAGGGTTTCACCTGATTGACACAAAACACCTGTGACTATGGAGGTGGCTAGAAGTCGTGAATTTAACCTGTTAAAGGCATGTAGGGCTAGAGAAAGAGGGTGCCTTAGGCTCATCAGTCTCTGAGAGCAGCTTCTCTTTACAAGTTTCCATCAAGACAGCAGCAAAGCAAGGCCTTGAGAGATGGGGCAGAGGGAGACCAACAGGGATGAGGGGGCCTGTCGGAGTCCTTGCAGCGGCCCTTGGGCACCAAACCTGTTTCACTGACAAACGTAAGTTTTGAGCCTGTATCAGGATCCACTAGCACTGGCTTCTTTACTTGTGAAGACTCCTGTACTGCTGAGGATTAATATAAGGTAGTGAGCATACTTGTATGCTAAAATCTGTGTGACTTTTATCTACCCGGGGGTGGGTCTTATTACTTTTCTGACCAAACCAATTATTCATTGGTATTGTAATACTTCTAAAATCTGTTTATATCCTGTAAAGCCCTCCTTAGTTTGTTCATGGCTTTGTGTGGCTTGTGATGCCACTGGGTTTTGTATAGTTTTTTCCCTAGGGTGAATAAACTGTACAAGCATTTGCACAATTTGTCCTTTTAAAAATATTGACATATCTCAGATATGAATCACTTCCCTTAACTTTACTTCTCTTGACTGTTAACTCCCACCATATATTCTAAGACTCTTCAATTTTTATTTTCTTTTTTAGACATAACCTCTTTGCCTTTAAAAATTCTCGGTACGTGCTTGCCTGAGATGCACTGAAACTTTGAAAGGAAATTTGTTGAGTAGTTTGTATTGTATATGTCTCCTGGTTTGCTTAACCTAGTCCAGTTCTTTCCAGCAAATGGAATTTTTCAATATTTAAAGTTTTTCATTCTTGTCTTGTTTCAAAACCAAACTAATTTTAAAGAACACACTCGGATCTAGTGTTTGAAGAAATTCAGGCAATTTAGATAATGGGGAACTAGTATATTCTGTTCAGAACAGATCATAGTTAATAACTTTTTTGCTTTAATTTAAGAAGGGTATTGCTACATAATTTTAATGTAGTTAATGAAAGCCAGTTTTACACTTTCTTAATATTTTACTTTGGTTTCCAAACTATTTCAATTACTCTGAATCACAATTTCTAGAAACACTTTTTATTCATATTTGACTTTCTTGGAAAAGCAGGGGCAAGGTTTCATTATCTTTTTATGGAAGGTTTTAACCCTGAATGTTTGTGCTAACAATGAAATTGTGGTCCTTTTTGAAGTTGGCAGGAGTTTTTGCCATTGAACATCAGTGTGACCAGGATTTAATTTGGGAAATGAAAATCTGTATCTATAAAAGCATGTACCTATGTTTCCCTTCTTTCTACTTAATCTCAACTTCCTTGCTCGAATTACTGCTGTATAATCATTGTTCTCAGCCCACTGTAGCTTGGAACTCTCAAGTGCCGCTTCCTTTTTAAAAAATGAAAATGAAACTTTATTTATATAGGAAATGAGAATGCAGAGAAGTCTTTTAAATCTGAGGAACTAATAGACATTTCTATATGCTGTATGCTTTAAGTCTTTCCTCTTTGAATTTTATGCTTTAAAAAAACCAACTTTTGCTAGTAGAAATAACCATTAAGTTGCAGCTCCTCACAATTAAGTTGCACATTTCTAGATGAAGGCACTCCAAGCTGGGTTTTAAATTTCACTTTGAAATTCTAATTGCATATGCAAACACTGAGACGGTTCTGCTTTCTCTGATCTAAATATTGAGCTCCAGAGCAGTGTATTTTTGTACTCTGTGAATAGCCCTTTTGTTCCATTTTTCTAGCACTATAACCTCAGCTTCCTTTTCCCCCAAGCTTTAGCTTCAAAGTTAATTTGAACTTGGATGATGAAACTAAGAGCAATTAGTAGAACAATGAGATCTCATGCCTGCCACTCTATTCCATGGATGTACCTTTTGAAAAGTAATGAAAACTGGAAACTGAGGGCCTCCTGGGTGTGTGTGTTTTTGGTCTGGCTTGTTTGTTTTGTTTTTTGTGAGGGGGGGTGGGAAGGGGATTTGTGTGGTTGTTGTTTTTTTTTTTTTTTTTTTTTTT